CTCCCCGAAAGCTAACTTTTAAAGGCTGTGTTAGGTAAATAGTAAAAATAAAATAAAAATCACTTACCAAGGATTAATATAAAATGCCAAAAGATAATCAGTCCAAAGACATGAAGGTAGCAGGGTTAGGAAAGCAAATATACTCCTACGCCTGTGAGCATTAATAGATAACAGGTGTAAAGATGAAGAAGTGGCAAGAGTTAGTAAGATAAATTGTGAACAGACATCAGTACATTATTCACTGGAATCAAGTAAAATGAGCACCTTAATTATAATGAAATATTATTCCGTTCTGTGAAATTTAAACCTGAGGGCTGAAGTGCTATAATATTGTCAAAATCAGTTTCATTCACACACAGCCTCTTATTGTAATCAGATTTTTTTCCCAATGTATTTTGTGTTAATTAGTCTGCTATTAGGTGATTACATTTCGCATTCAGTGAAATGACGCGCTTAAATGCCTCATTAGTTATCTCAAGTCTTCCTCTTGGGTATTACCCTTGCAGTGCATAACTAAGTCTATTTTAAGGAACCTCTAAAACATCATTTGGAAGCTGTGGGAGGGAATATAAATGGTGAGTTCACATGTACCGGTCCTGGTGAAGACTCAAAGCTTTCGGGACCCTTTCCTGTCAAGCAGCACTTTTAGCGCATTACTGTGACTTTCTACGTTAATTTTATTTTAACTTATACACCGTTTCTAAAAAGTAACCCTTAGCACGGAGGTAGGGCACGACACTCAGGTGCCATTCATTCAGGAACAGTAGCCTAGTCTGTGAGCTTAACCAGTACTCAGCGGAGTGGGAGCAAAACTACTGAGTTTCACTTTAATTCTTTTTCAGACTGTTGGTCTAAAATGCATGGTTTGAAACCAATTTCAAATATTCCAACCAGTTGTAACATAGAACATTCATTAATGCAGATTTAAAAATATCGTATGGTTGCATCGATAGCTATTCTGAGAATTAGGGGGCAATGCTGTCGCCTTGTCACCTTAGTTTTTACAAATCTGCACTGAGATAGATATTCTCAGCCTGAAAATGCTGGGCCTGGAGAACCTGTCTTTGCCAAGAGTTGAGAATTTTCTTGATTTTATAGAAAAGTCCTGAAGTGAAGTCTCTTTTGCCTCAGTTCTCCCGTAACGGGTCTCCCATATTTTATAAGCTGTGACTGGTTGTGCAGTCAATACACAGCTCTCCTGGGTCACGTGTACAAATGAATCATTTCCTACTTGAGCCGCTCACCACCGCTCTGTGACTGGACCATTTTTAAAGATGGGCCAGCGGCAAACAAGTATCAGGCATTAGTCTCTTCATCTGCAAAATGTGGTAATATTATTGAACAAAATGTCTCCCAACTTTTT